TGCGCGCACTTTTTACACGCGGAGAAAATTTTATTATCAAAAATTACTATGTACCGCAGTAGCCGCGGACCATGAAGGGATTATAAAAATTTTCACTGTGTTTTTCGCACGTGAAACATAGTAAAAATTTTCGCTCCGCGGCTACCGTCGTACATGGTAATTTTTTATATAAAATTTTCTCCGCGTATACAATATTAATTCGCTGTCAATTTTATAAATTAAAAGAGATACAAATATATTTGCTAATAATTTAATAACATCTTCCACTCTCTATCTTACCTCTGTATTAATTACTTATCGATTTATAGGGACGATGACTCTCTGTTTTCAGGCAATATCTGAAAGTGACAGACAGCTTGGTCACAATAGCACACATTTAATTATCGCGCCGTATTTTCTCCTGCGAATGACAGATAACGAAGTGGACTAGAACTTATGTAATTATCTACCATTTTCGGCAAAATACGATTACGATAGATGACATATGTAGAATGATGCGTATTGTAGAGCGGCGATGCACAATCTCCAATCAGCATCGCTAATGGATCTGTGACCATGCTTTACCGTAATTACCTCGCGACACTAGGTGAAGTATATGCCGAATACTTGATTTCAGATTTCATCGCCGTCCAAGATGGCTGCGAAATGGCGACATATCTATGCCGCATTAATAGCAGTAAATTGGATCTGGCGGTGCATTAATATCGCATAGCGCATATAGTACCGCATTAGTTACACACAGTTACATACGATATCTGCTAGCGCCGCTCTGATTGCGTAATATAAACGTGGCATTTGCCGGCGTGCCGCCACATCTAATGTAACTGCGTGCACGGTGTTATTGCCTTCCGCGGGATTATTACCGTAATTGCATTTGTTACAACTCCCCGCGCAATCGTTCCGACGACGTAACTTTTAGCACGCCACGCGTATTAGTCGTTCTTTTTATCAAAGAATCCGCGCAGATATCGTAAGGGCTTATCGTGTAGCTTCGCAGCGCCGGAATGGAAAAATATGTGTAACGATAGCAATGCAATTAATAAAAACATGTAATTACGAAAAAGAAAGAAAATATTAAAATTCTTCCACGGACCGATATATTCAGGAAGGCGTTATAGTAATATAAAAGTGTTATGGTACAGAGTGTCTTGCTCCCCTAAATACATTTGTCGCGATAAATCGTCCGAATCTTAATTAAACCGGTGTGTTAATCCTCGCGCTGTATTTTCCTCTTCTCTCAGCGCTCGATGATTAACGACGCAACAACGGCCGCTTTGACATTTAACTTCGCGCACACCTGTCCTTTGTTACATCATGGTAATTTATTAATGTCCATTACGACGCCTTAATTACCCCTCGAGAAGGTACTGCGAATCGCAGAAATATCACAGTCTCCGAAACCGGGAGTCCACTTCTCCCTCGTCGCAATTCAATACGACGGAGTTGCTGAAGAATCGTCTTGACGACGAGAACTCTCTCCGTACTCCTCTCCTCCGCCCCCCGCCCCCTGCCCCTCCTTGCATAAAGGCTGCTTTCAAAGCTCTCGCACTTTCTTCCCGCGGAAGCGGAATTACGGCCCGACGCCTTTACGACGATGTAATCTCAACCGGATTAACATATACCTCCGACTGTCCGTGAATCTGTCTGCGTACCTTGGATTCCGCAGAGAAAGAAATCTGAGACGATGGACTGCGGAGAGCAAGGTCGTGGAATGAATAAAACCAAAGGGAGCCGGGGCTGCAAGAAGAAACGGATCTCCGCGATTGTCGAGGTTTTTCGCTCCGCCATCGTCGTCATCGTCGTCGTCGCCCTATCGAAAGGGTGACCCGGGTTGTATAATGAACCGCAATGGTGTTCCTCTCGAAAGCGTTTCTCGGTCCTTCGACAATAGACTTTTCATCGCGTCTCGGATACGCCTCTTGTACGTCTCGCATAACAATATCGCTCCTTTATGCGAGGAGTACAACAAAGAAAATCGACTCAAGTTCTACAACGAGAGCTTGTAAGGAAGTATACGACATCTGATACAATCTGCGTTATTATAATTAGCGTTAGTATAATTAGTAAATGTTTGTGTGATGTAATTCATATTACTACGCGGGATATCAGGGAATCATATCAATTTCTAATTATCAGGCTTCAATTACGCATCTCTACATTAATCGTAATTGGAGGCATATTATGTTTAGCTCATTAGCGAACTGAATATAAGATTACTAATGTTATGGCTCTTTATAATGCCGCGATAGTTTTAATTGCCGCATACGAAGAATTCCGTCATCGTGGCGTTTTGCGCGCACACGCATAACTGCTACTACATTTAATTAATGAAATCATCCTAATCACCGCGAGGACCTCTTTCGTCAGCGACCACGTTAACATCTCGCTACCGGCCGCACTTGGATTTTATCCCTTAATCACTTTTATAATCAGCGCGTCGAGGAGGCCGAAGGCGGGCAGCGAAAGCGGTTTTCAGTGAACCGCTATTATATTTCCAAAGGCGCTGTTAATGAGGATAAAATGTTCCGCGGAACTTTATACCACTTCGCTAAAGAATATCCGTATCTGCGCGTTTAACATTTTGATCTAGCTACAATCTCTCCCGCTCGAATTATAATCGACACGTTCGCGAAATCCCGAAAAATTACAATTTCGAAGTTGGAAAGTGCAAGTTAATGCAAGCGCAATTTTTTCGAAATGTTGGAGAGTACGTAAAATCCCGAAAACTCACAATGTTGGCATGAAAAATCGGAAAATATCCC